CTGATTGGGATGTTATGAGAATGAAGTGAAAAAATGTAGATCATAAACTTGGAGCCGTGCCCCAGTCTGAAGGAGGTCAACACTTTTACCCAGAGCGGTCTGCTTTGAGGGCAATTGGTCCTTTGTTCCATGGACAATAAAATTACACTCTTCCCTGCTCTACAGGGTTAAGTAAGAACAGAAACATGTATATATGTGAAAAACTCCTGAGTGCTTTTAACATTGTAAGAAGTTAGGATTTGTGGAAAATTTCCAAGTTTCTTCAAACTCATTTGCAGGTATACTTAAGACTTGAGGTGAGTTGGGAAGGAGTCTGAAAAGCCACTGAATAGCTTTTGTTCCAGAGCTGAATTCTGCTGGAAACTAACTAATTGCTCTCAATTATCCTCATGTCCCAGTGCTGTGCTGCCTTCTTCATTTTCACTAGTTTTTACATAATTCACCTTCTTCTCTGCACCCTCCATCCCTATTTTCCATTTCTTTCTTCATTTTTCTCCCCATTATTTAGTATATATTTTTATTTTGAGGCTGGAATTCAGGATATGAGGCAGATGACCTGGTTTGGTAGTGGATGTCAGACAGGAAAGGGTCACTAGTGCAGGGCAGAGACAGGTCTCCTCCTTACTCTAAACATTGTATAGTCTTTGAATTTTCTTCCTCAAGGAATAGGAAGAAACATTTAAATCTTTAGTTTACCATAAAAAGCCTAGGGAGTATAGAAAGGTACTTCATATCACATTGTAGGAAGTTATTCCTGCCTCCTCCACACTCCCTACACACTAGTTGTGCTAATCTGACATAAATCACAACATGCCTTGTACTTTATACACTTGCAATGTGCTTTGCACACATTCAAAGAGCATCTGTTAGTGTCTTTTGGAACACTGAAATGATACACATACGTAATGATGAGTTGTGTTAGTCACCATCTCTAAAGGTAATTCTTTCATTCCCTCATTAATTAATCCATTTATTAGATTAGCATTAGTTACTTACTAGTGCCCAGTACTATTGCTAGGCCATAAAAGGCATATCAAGAAAAGTAAGTTGCAGTCATTAAGTGGCACTTATAGAAGGCAGTTATAGATAAGATAGCATCGTGATTAGGTAACTAATTTTACAACATCACATAGAGTCAGTCAGTGTAGATTTTAAATGGTGAAAGAATAACTGGCTGTCTGTAGAATATTGTATATATCTATGAATTTATGTTTGTTTTGGTAAGCTCTTTGTAGGTATACCTAAGTAATATATCAAGGAATACCTTGTCACCCTTTCTCTGAATTTTAGATGCATCTCAGCTTGGTTTGCATTAAAAAGGAAGAAAAATTTCACCAATTAGACAAGATTGAGAGATATTGTATGGAGTAAAATATTTCAAATTTTGTTCAGTTGCATTTGGTATGATACATTCTCGACTCTGATTTACAGTTTTGATTTTGAAAGGAAAAGAGGTATGATGCTGTGAATGTGATAGGTGTAAGTAAGAATTTTTTTGAAAAATTGCCGTCACTGATGTGTATGTAAATTGAAGAGTCTGTGCTGAACATGTTTGTGAGACATTAGTAGAAAAATCAGCTTAAGTTTTCTTAGTATATCGCACACTGATAACGTGAAATTTGCTGCATTCCACTATTTGTACTACTCACTCAGGAAAGTTAAATGGAAATTTTCCATTTTACACATTTAGTTCCCCTTCTTAAAGTTGGCAAACATTAACTTTTTCCGCTGCATTTCTACGTAATTGGCCTCTTGCCAGCTAATATGTGTGTGTGAGTGTGACTGTGTTTGTGTGTCTGTGTTTTAATAGCTAGGCTAGTGCTATTAACTCAACTTATCTGCATTTTGAGGTTCAAACTTGTTTCCTTTCGTGGACACTTCATGGCAGTGGGAATCTGATCATAGTTCTTTGCAAGTTTGTAAGTGGTTTACTGTCAGAGCACTCAGAGTCACTCAAATAATAGTTGTGAAGCTTTGCTGTTAGGATGTTCCTTCAGGAGTGTTTCCTTGCTATTGGACTGCGGATGTTCCTATTTTGTACTCTAGCTTTGAGTGAGCTGCTTGCTTCACAGGACTTAACGCTTTCTGTGCCTCTACCTGAAATGGTCTCCTTTGCTTATCAGTTTTTTACTCATTCTTTAAAATTCAGCTCAATCAGCCAAGCTAGTCTATGTCACATTGCAGGAAATTATTCCTGCCTCCTCCACACTCCCTATAAACTTCATTGTACTCATCCAACATTGATCACAAGATGCTTTGCACTTTATACACCTGCAATATGTTTTATACACATTCGAAGAGTATGCACAGTTATTTCCTAGTACAGTAATGTTGATTGAATTTGGGGCTTCTAAACTGACATAACTAGCTCTGCCTCTGCCTCTCTTTAATAGTTTATTGAGCTTCAACTTCCTTGCTTCTAAATAGGAGATTATTCATGGCCATCGCATACAACTGCTTTGAGGATTAGATGAAGTAATATATGCAGAGTCCCCATTTCTTGAGGGTTTGCTTTAACTGAGACACTGGGCAAAAAGTTTTCTGTAATATCCTCCCATGTACAATGCCTACAAATGTTAATTCCATTAGTCCCAATACTTGGACAGAGTATGTACTCACTGAATATTTCTCAAATGAATGAGAACTGGACTGGAGTTGGCAGCAAGGGTCTGTCTGCTGAGTCAGCTGCCCTGAGTCAGCGGTTGAGGCACATACAACACAGGTCTCTAGAGAGGGAAGATACTGACTGGGCTGCAGTTCCAGCTATCTGACTGAAAGGTTGCCAGAGTGTGATTCCTAAGCATGATGGAGAGCTCGTGGGTAGGGGAGAGAATCATTTCAGAACTACATTATTTCCTTTCTCACTGTCTCTCATTACCACCCTCCTTCACCGCTGCTGACCTCTTCTGCCTAGAAGAGGTACAGATCTCATTCTGAGTCACTTCAGGGTTGTATTGGTGCAACAACAACTGCATTTTTACTATGACCCATGGAATATGTTTTTATGTATTGTGTAGATCTGTTATTGCAGAGCTACAGAATCTTGGCCAAAAAAAAAAAAAAAAAGAAGGAAGAAAAGAAAGAAAAAATTCAACCAAAGCACTATACCCCTTTAGTGGTAAATATTTTAGGAATGTTAGAGGCTCATGAAAATCACACCTAAATATAAAATGACATTCCCACTCTTGGGCTCCTATAAATGAAGAGATTTTGGGGATCTCCAGTTTGATGACTCATAACTTTCCCAGTGTTTTATTTTCATGAGCCATTGATTAAAGTTGGGTGTAGCACTATATAATTTTTCTCTTCCAGCTAAGCTGTTTCTATTAGTTGGGAAGTTTTAGAAGCTTCTGCAAACCCCCATGATACCATTCTATGCATCAAAACCATTGTATTTAAAATGATATTTGAGGGACATTGGAAAGGTTTTTTTGCAGCCTCCACCCAGGCTTGTCTTACTTCTGGGGAACTGTTGTACAGCACAAGAATCTGATGAACAGAAGTTCCCATGATGCATTAAAGGGTTAGTCTTCCCATCTTGCTGTGTTCCTGAAGGCTGGAGTTAATGAGGAAGAGTTTTTATGGTGAATGTCAGGCATGTTGCAATAACTAGCCACAATGGAATAGTCATGGCAATTTCCACCACTTAGTTTCTTTGTTTTTGTGATGTTGCTGCATGCTTCATTTATGAGTATTTTCTTTTCTTATATCTACTGCCATCTTGGGCTTGGATACTTGTATTTAAAAGAGAGGAACAGAGAGAAATTGTAAAATTGACAGAATGACGTATCCTAAACGTATCAATTTATCTTCCTCCACTTCTGACAAATATTCTGGTGATAAATATTCTGATGAGTTTGTGTCCCGAGGAGAAGGAATAGAAAAGAAAAAGTACTGTGGAAACCAGGCTTCTTTTGGTTATGTTAACATCATGGATACAGACCAAGCCTAGTAATATTTCCACTGAAATTCAATAAATGAAAACTGCCAACAGTCTTTGAGGTTTGGTTTTCTGGGGTAAGTCGTTTGTGTCCTTGAGTACTTCTATCTTTATCAGATAAAGACTTCTATCTACTACCTGATTGCTAATTTATATTGGAGTGGGAGCAGTAGAATAGAATATAAAGACTTATGAAATTCTAAAATCTGGTGGCATCCTCACTCATTTCATTCATGAACGTGAATAATCCTCTCGACTGCAGAAAGGCCTACCGGGAGCATATTGTATGCATTACAAACCTAGATTCCCAAGATCAACACAAGCAGAAGGGGTGGTGGGTCAGGTGGGGTATGAGGCTGAGGAAGTTGAATTCATAAGGATAAAGCACCAATTTATGAATGTAACATACACAGGGAATATGCCTCCATTCCTAACAGCCTGTGTTCAGAATTGTATACCTTGACAACACTTTCATCACCTTCCTCTCTTCCCTGCCTATACTTGGAAAAGATGCCAAAGGCATCCTTAGTGCCTCACCTATTCAGCTTCAAAGTTGTCATGTGCATCGGATACCGTATTTCGAACCCACCCTTCTGCCATTTTAAACCGTGTTACTCTCTCTCTCCGTGGTTACTACTGGGTTTTTTTTTTTGTTTATTATCTGACATCAAATCCTGTCTAAACACTAACACTTTGTCTTGTTAAAATAAAAGTCAGTGTAACAAACAAGGCCGGGAAGAAGGCGAAGTGTCTCTCTGCTGTGACCCTGTTCTGTAGTTCCTCGACTTCTGGTGCACGAGGAGAGAGAGAGAGAGAGAGAGAGAGAGAGAGAGACAGAGAGGAGAGAGAGAGAGAGAGAGAGAGAGAGAGAGAGAGAGAGAGAACGCGTCAAGAGGGAAACACAAGCAGGGCCTTCGAATTGGCCAGCCAGGCGACCAGCGAGCCCGCCCCCACTCCTCCCCCTCCCCCTCCGGCGCTCACACTCAGGAAGCAGCTGGCTACAGGCCGGCCCCCACGGCCGCACACACATCCACACTCCTCGCCGGGCCGCCTCCCTCCCTCCCTCTTTCCCCTTCCCCTCTCCCTGCAGCAGTGTCCACACTGCGCCGCCAGGCCAGCCCAGACCGCGGCGCACACGGGCACCGGCGCCGAGTGCCGCCGCCAGCCGCCCCTCTCGGGACCCCCTATACGCCGTCCAGCCGTCCAGGGTCGCACCCGCGCTCCCCCAACGGAACCCGCCAGCAGCAATTAGCCAGCAACCTGGGGTCGGCCCCCAGACGCACCCCCTGGCCCAGGACGAGGATGAACAGGGCAGGCGAGGCACAGAGTCGCAACTCAACTTTTTAGAAACATTATTTGCGTGTGTATGTGTGTAGCAGGGGAGAATGAGCTGATGCCGAGGGTCCAGCCACCCCGCCTCTGCCTCCTCCTCCCTCTGTCGCCGCTGCCCTCGCAGACGCGCGCGCACACACGGCACTTGGGCCGGGTTTCCGTGCTCCGTCCCCCGGCTTGGATGGGGGTTTTCATTTCCGAAGGAGGCAGAGCCTGCGGAGCTCGCTGAAGGGCTGGAGCCCCAAGTTACTCCTCACCAGCGCTGGCCACCCGCTGTCACTCGCACTGGCTGGCTGGGGGAAGGGACCGGCACACCGGGCTTTGTTGTGGAAATCCCGGTTACCTGGTAAGTGGATGCCATAGGAACTTTGCTCACAGGCGAGAGACAGGGAGAAGCCGGGCACTTGAGAGTGTGGGGGAGTTAAAGCTCAGAGACGCAAACTAGGGATTAGAAATAGTTTTCCACGCTGAGCTGGTGGCGTTAGCGCGGGTTTAGGGATATGCGCAACCCCCGCCCCCCCCCCTCCCCGCCCCAGTCACAGGTCACTGAGAGACCTGCGCTTACTGAGATTGATAGCAACAATTAAGGTTCAAACTGTGTTCCTGTCAATGGCCGAAGAGCGCCCAGTGTAGAAGACAGAAAGAGCAATAGCGTTTTAAAGTTTCGCCAATTAGAAACAGTTTTTGCTTTTTCTTTTCAAGTAGAGGGGGCAGAGGGGTAAACAACCAGGGCAAGTTACAGGACGCACGGGCAAGGGGCGCGCCACTCCAGAGTCCCCACTGAAGGGAAACTTTGGAGAAGTGGGAATTGACGGGTTGACGTGAGAATTCTCGCGCACACACGGGGCTGTAGTTGTCTTTTAAAGTTCCACGTGTTTGTGGAGCTTCACGAAGGCAGTTTTCTATGCCTGTGTCTCATCCAAGCCGGTGTCCCCATGGTTGCGGGAGGTGGTCGGATTGAGGGTACCGGCCCGGCGACCCGCAGCCGCAGCCGCCGGGTCTATAACTATAACCTCCCACGCCGCCAGTGCGCAGACACAGCCAGACATGAACCCTCCCCGCTGGGTTCGTCACCTCGCGTTTACATTTTTATGGGGCCCGACAAAATGTCAGCACTGTTTGGAAAATGTCTCAGTCTCAGAAACTTTGTCCTGCACACGGCTCCAGTCCCTATAAATGACCCTGTGTGTATTTTGAAGTCGGCCCGGGTCGCTCTCTGGAAAGCGTGAGTGAGCTGCCGGCTCTCTCCTAGACACACACCTTGCCCCGAGCAACAGTTCCAAGTTACTCACTGGAGCTGACAAGTCACCTCGGGGACAAGGAAGTCACCCAAGTGTCTGGAAATCTTGGCCCTGGCTGATTTGTCATCCTATGGATGATTCAATTAGCTACCTGGCGGGAGAAACTTTGGGGAAGGTTTTCTGGCTCTGCGTTTGCGCCCTCCGAATTCTGGAGACGAGAAGCGAAAGGAAACCCGAAGGTTAGGACACTGGTTCAGCGGGGCTCGGGGGCCAACGTGCGGGGACTGCGAGCCCAGCTGTAGCTCCCTCGGGCTCTAGACTCCGGCTGGGCCGGGCCGCGCGCGCAGGTCCCGCCGCCCCGCTTCCCAGCCGCGGCGCCCTTTCGGTCCCCGATTTACTCAGGAGCTGGTTGCACAACAGGAAGCCGGCACTAGTTTGTTTTGTTTTGCTGCGTTTGCTAGCTCGCTTGCTCACGGGCCGGGCCGAGGGTTGGGGGCGGAGGCGGCGGGGGAGGGACGGGGTCTCAGCGGCACGCACCCTTGCTGGGCGCTGTCGCCTCCGCCTCTGGACCCGCCCTTAGCTCCGCGCCCTGGAGCCCGGACGTCCGACCCCGGCAGCAAAGCTAGTGACACAGGGAGCCGATAAGGGCTGCCCTCCTCCTGCCTTGTCCCACATGCCTCTCCCTGGCACCTCTGCCTACTTCTCCAGCCCTCCTCTTCGCAGGAGAGGTGGACCTGGAGGACTAACGCGGTCTCCGACCTCCTGCTCTGTTTGCCTTCCCGAGCCCCACGCTAGGCTGCTCTGGCAATAGCTTGGCCCTCGCATCTCGGGAGCATCAAATCCCAGGGCAGAGGTAGGGGCTACTTTCGGAATCGCAGGGAGCAGGGTCCATAGAGACAGGACTCCTGCAGCGCGGCCCTGTTTCACAGACAGGAGGGCTCTTGTACCCTCTCCTCGAGCTGGTAGAGCCACCTTCCTCCAGGATTTCAGCATCTCCCAAGAGTTGGGGCCCCGGGGCCCTGGAGTTTGTGAGAAGAGAGAAATTCTGCAGCTCCCCCAAGTGGACCAGTTCCCTTTAGTAGGGGACCAGGAATCTCAAGGATAGACTGTTAAAGCTAGAGTGGACCTTGGCGTCACTTACTGGTGAGGAAACCAAGCCTCAGAGACAGGGGTTTTGCCCAAGGCCTCACAGCCAGTTGTTGCACACCCAGGACAAACCCCTAAAGTTCTCAGTTACCTGGTTAAGAGATCATTTCTTGGCGCGAAGACGAACTCAAGATAAATGCAAAGTCTGGTTCTGTCCGCTCTGAAAGCTTTGATGAGTCATGAATCTACCTTGAGAGTTAGCCAGACGTCTGTTTACCCCTCTGTCTTGTACCTTACTGGACCTCCCTTTTTAGACTAAACTTTTTTTTTTTCAGTACACAATCGATTTGTGTTCGTTTAAACCTTCCTATTTCTTCTCTTATATCTCCTCCTAGTTTGCTTCCAGTGGTTCTGTGTGAAGCAGGTGCAACCTGCAAAGGTTTGCAGAAAAAGAATCCGCCATGATGAAGGTCGTTCTGAGAAAGTTTGAAGCAATTTAGATAGCAGAATGTGACATTATATGCATTTTCTTTTCTTTTCTTTTCTTTTTTTGGCAATTGAGAACAAACTGAAGTGTGAGGATCATCTTTAACCGTACTACAGTTTTCTTTTTCTTTCTTTCTTTCTTTCTTTTTTTTTTCTCTGAGACGGAGTTTCGCTCTTGTTACCCAGGCTGGAGTGCAATGGCGCGATCTCGGCTCACCGCAACCTCCGCCTCCTGGGTTCAGGCAATTCTCCTGCCTCAGCCTCCTGAGTAGCTGGGATTACAGGCACGCGCCACCATGCCCAGCTAATTTTTTTTGTATTTTTAGTAGAGACGGGGTTTCACCATGTTGACCAGGATGGTCTCAATCTCTTGACCTCGTGATCCACCGGCCTCGGCCTCCCGAAGTGCTGGGATTAACAGGCGTGAGCCACCGCACCTGGCCCTACAGTGTTCATATATTTTTTACTAGTTACCTGTAGAGCCAAACTAGTTTTAAGGCTACCTTTGAATGCAAGAGTCGAGGGCATTTTTTTCTCTGTTTTCTTTTTTTTGAGACGGAGTTTCGCTCGTTACCCAGGCTGGAGTGCAATGGCGCGATCTCAGCTCACCGCAACCTCCGCCTCCTGGGTTCAGGCAATTCTCCTGCCTCAGCCTCCTGAGCAGCTGGGATTACAGGCACGCGCAACCATGCCCAGCTAATTTTTTGTATTTTTAGTAGAGACGGGGTTTCACCATGTTGACCAAGATGGTCTCGATCTCCTGACCTCGTGATCCACCCGCCTCGGCCTCCTAAAGTGCTGGGATTACAGGCTTGAGCCACCGCACCCGGCCCCTCTATTTTCAAAAACCTTTCCTTATTGGTAGTTTGTTAATTGCTTTCTTTTTTTGCGCAGAAGACTCAGTAATCCTTGATTACATCAATTTAACTGCTGCTAACTTCTCCCATTGGTTCACCTTAGGCCAGTTTGGGACAGCATCTTTTCTTTGATCCCCTAATTACACTGAAGGTCCTTAGTAGTCGTCATGTTATCAGAGGTTGAATACCTAAGGTTAGTTGGTTTGCTTGGAAGAAGTGGTCATCACCTCAAATAAGAAAGGAAATCTTTATTGGGGTGGTGGATGGACTCCAAGGTCCACATAGTGGGCAAAATTCCTACTGAGCTAAAATAGGCTGGGTTAGGGGAAGTTAAGTAATACCCAGATAATGTTTTGTATCAACCCTGCTTTCATTTATGCAGGAGAAAGTGGTGTTTCTGCCATTTCGGAAGAGAGCTCAGTGTTCTCCACCTTTTTTTTCCCCTGACTGTTCTTTCCGGCTAGTTAATTAAGCCTGAGAACATTCATTCTTTCCACTGTTGTCGCTTTCATTTTATAGTTACTGATCTTTGTAGTTGGAGAGTTAATTTGCTGTTCTCCCAGATTATAGAAGATATACTTCTTGAAGGGGATAACTCAGAAAGTGGCAGCACATGCACATTCTCATCTCTGGAGAAGTCATTTTCTGTGTTTCTGTAATTATTTTCTGTAGAGGTTATTATATTGTAAATAAGGTGGAAATACAGGACTTAACTGTTCTACTTTTCCCTAAGTTTGGTTGGTTCATAGACTATCAGGATTGGGGAAAAAAGGCACATAGGAAATCTGTATGATAAAAATAAACAAACCTGTTGCCATTCTCATTCAAGGAAGATGACACATAACAAAACCTTCAAAATGACATTGATACATAGTTTCATTAAAAGATGCCAAAGTCCCCAGTTTTCCTGGTTTCCCACTTACTTTTTGACACAAAAGCCAAATTTTCTGTTGAGATAAAATAGGATATCCTTATGGAAAAGCGTACTTATCTTGAGCTTGATGCATTTTTTGCAAGTGGAACACACCCACATAACTAGCCTCCAGATCAAGAAACAGAGCATTACCAACACACCAGAAACATCTCCCACACTCCATTCCAGTTAGCACCTCTGCCTAATGTAACCACTGCCATGGTTTTTAGCAGATATATTAGTTTTGTCTGTTTTACAAAAAATCTTATGTAAATGGAATAATTTAATATGCACTCTTGGGTCTGGCTTCTTTCTCTCAACACAACAACCTTTTAGTAGGTCAAATAATTTGGACTCCCCTTTAAGGATGATGGAAACAGTCTGGCTTACAGAAATTAGTTAGTGAGGCATTACTTAATGTGATAGAATTAAGGAAAAACACTAACCAAACTGAAGCCATATTTATATTCTGATGACAGTCTGGTTAGGAAGACTAAACAGACACAAGTGAAATGTCTAATGTGACACCGGGGTAGGTGAGCAGGAAAATCCAGAGGAGTTCCTTCCGCTAAGACAACCCAGAGTATATTTCACAGTCCCTCCGTGAGGGCCAGCAGTCCCCATAATAAAAAAAAACCATAAGTGCCTGGTTTCAGTACTAAACTGTTCATTCACAACTTTTAGCTGGGAGTTTTCATTGTTCACCAGTAGGCCAAGATAAAGGCAGAATAACATGCCTACCCAGAATAGTAGAGTAGAATTT